CACTATACAGAGATTAAGAACTTATATCTATCTGTCTATCCTATCTATCTGTCTATCCTATCTATCTGTGTAAATATCTATCTGCAGTATTTTGAAACCCCGTGACAGATGGCTGTGTGGTCTAGCTAAACCAAATGTTTTAACCAACATCTCCATATTAACACTTTCTATCCGTCCTTATTTATCTATCTATCAATCTTCTAGAATTATCAGACATGTCTTACTCTTGTTACAATGATCTAAACATGGTTTATTTTTCTCTATTAACATTTTACTTTTAGAACAACCGGCGTTTTTACTGATTTATTCCGGAGTCATTGTTTTCGCTTCAGCATCTGCTTTTGTACCTTCTCTCTTCTGTTTTTAGTAACTCTTAGATTTGTTGCCCAACCCTCCTCCCCAAGCCAGTTCTTGTTTATAAAGGAGAATATGGAGTAATTAAAACTCCTTGTTTTGGTAGATTACATCACGTATATCTAATTTACATGATAAACCATTGGTTATTTGATGAATCAAGCAACATTTCTAGGCTTCTACCGAAACATAAAAAGACTTTTTAAAATGTTTTTGCGGGAAAAGGGTATGGACTATCTAAAATTCCTAAACAAGATATAAAAGACATAAAACAAAATTAATATTTTTGTCGAAATTTCTGAAGTTTCGGTTTATCCCTATTTTATCGGCACGCGTCCTTGTATACAACCCTAGTTAAGTTTAATAAAACGGTAGACAGTATATGGATTAGATTGATATAAAGGGGGAGGGGGGGATCAACTAAATGAAGGGATGGGGGGGGGAAATAAAATAAAAATGATCAAAGTATATCATAAACTAAATATAATGATTAATTTTAGTGTATACTATAATGTAAATATACAAACGAAATACTTGTATACACAGCTTTGCCTGAAAACTAATATTTCTCTTTTAAAATTAAATATTATTCAGATTTGTTAAACAAAGCTAAGGATATTTCCATGGTTCTGCAAAGCAAACCAATTAAATGTTTAGGCAAATCGTTAAGAAGTTCCTGAGCTATGATCGGACAGGTAAATAAAAATAAACAGAGATTACTACTTTATGTATATCTATAATAATATATATGTAATATAAGCCATGCAATTAAGGGCAATATCTAGCAATATTCATTTTGGAAAAAAAAATTCCTATTATATACTGAAATTTTAAACAATTTGCAGAAATTTGCAAAAAATCTCCAACCTACCCCCCCCCCC